ATGTATAGCGCATAGACTCGGCTTGAAGGAGCTATATGATCTATGTGTAGACGCTGGCGTTCGTGCGGAAATGCTGCTGAATCGTTTAGAGCAGTACCAACCTCTTGGAGACGATGATTCGGACGAAGAAGATGAGGAGGAAGACGCACAAGAAGAACCTCAAGTACAAGAAGTGGAAGAAGGGGCAGAAACAGTAGAGAAGGTTCAGGAAGATACACAAGGCGATGAATCGACCGAGAATCCAAACTATCTTGCTTCGAAACTCACATTCAATCGCGACCGACTGCTGGACGATTCGGGGAACGGCGTCATGATGGAATGGGAAACGACCTTGATGCGCAAATCTGCCGAACTCCTAGTACCCAAAGAAGGTCTCCGGGTTCTCAATGTAGGTCACGGCATGGGCATCATCGATGGAATTTTCCAAGAAAAGAAGCCAACAAGTCATCACATCATCGAGGCACACCCAGACGTGGTCAAACGGATGAAAGAACAAGGATGGCATGAGAAGCCTGGAGTGGTGATTCACGAAGGTCGATGGCAAGATATTGTTCCCGGTCTCGTGGAAAAGGGCGACCTATTCGATGCCATCTACTTCGACACGTTCGCTGAAGAGTATAAGGCCCTGCGCGAGTTTTTCACTGAATACGTTATCGGATTGCTCGATCCGGCAGGAGGTGCAGATGGCGAAGGCGGAAAGTTTGGCTTCTTCAATGGTATGGGGGCCGATCGACAGATTGTATATGACGTGTACACCAAGATTGTGGAATTTGATCTCTTCGAGGCTGGGTTCGATACGGAATGGGAGACTGTCCCTGTACCGGATCTTGATGAGAAGGGTGAGTGGGAGGGTGTCAGAAGGAAGTATTGGGTATTGAAGGATTATAAGCTCCCGACCTGCAGCTTCATTGGATGATGGACAGGTCACGCGCTTAAGCACATAGGAGAAAGACATAATGGAACAAAAATATTTGACATTGATTCATTAATGATCAACATAACCAGATATGGGTTCCCAATTTCGAAATAGAGATTTTGCCATCCTTTACTCCAAAACACCACGCTGTAAACAGTAAAAAGAGGCCATTAGTTACCATTTATTCCATTCATCAGGCCGTGCAGTTGTAACAACTTGTTATACCGGCCCTGTTGTGGCTCCGCCAACTGTTTTGCTGCCTCTGCCCCTGTGACAGGCATTGCCTTCAATCCATCGCTCTTCTGCTTCTTGGGAACGGCCTTTGGATCCAGTAGTCCAATTTGCACCAGAACAGAAGCCTGGTCCCAATACATGTGTTCCGAAACGAGCTTGTCTCCTCGTACAGCCACTATACTAACCATAGGTATTTCGACATGCTTATTTGTCGGTGGCACACCAGGCAGTATCCAATCGATTTCATCCGAGTGCGTAAAAGACACCACCATCTCGTCCACAATACGATTAACGCCCATGGTCCGCGAAATCAGGCGTATATCGAAATCCGGGACCAAGCTCGGTACGAAGAATTCCCCGTAAAACTCAGCCAGCTTCTTTCTTCCCACACCGCCTTCCATTGTGGGAAGAATAGTAACATGCGGGCTATCCTGCGTCATATTCTTGGCCACAGCCATGCTCGCTCGATCTGGGTCATCGTCTTCAAAACGTGCGTTCCAATGCGCAATCGCAATGGGCTCCAGATCGACATTCTTTCCGAACCCTTTGCGGATACTCGCTAGCGCCCTGGTCCAGGCTAGATTGGCTTCTACTTCCGAGTACGCCGGGGATGATGGATCCAGAAATCCTGAAGCACACCTCTCATACCGATACAGCTTCCACTCGCACATCTCTGGTCTGGCGCTGGCTTGACTTAAGCACGCAACGTGAACCTGCAGTTGGTGCGATCGCGGATACATTGTTTTTGGACTGGGTAGAAGTGTCGGGTAGAAAGCCACAATTGCACAGCATTTCGCCAGTGGTTTCTGTGCTGTTTTGAGGACAAGGCTGGCGGCCTCGCCATACGCAATTATCGCGTAATGCTCGCCGAGCTGGCATGTTTCTGTGAGCTTTCGGATAGTGTTGACGTATTCGGTTTGGGATTGCTTGCGCGGTTCGTAAGGAAGGAATTGTGCATCGTAGCCTTCTTCTTGCCAAGCTAGGAGCGCTTTTTCTGGAGCTGGATACGTGCTTGTGAGGTAGATGCGTGGAGGAGAGGAGTTGAATGTCAGGAATCCGCCTCTTCCGGGTGCAGTGTCAAATGATGTGATCGACATGGCGAAGAGGACGTGGTAGTACTGATGTTGATGTTGGGGAGACGCGTTTGAGTAGTTGAGGTACGTTAGGACCCAGTCCTTCGTTGCCGGATACACCTCCTTAGAGTAATAATGGCAAATCAAGATCAATAGTAGATGGAGGATTCCCAAAGGCGCTTAAATTCATTTCGGCTACCTCCAACCTTGATCATACCCCAGCCGCGCAACCAAGGAAAATCACATGAGTTAGCCCGTGGTGTTTGGTGCGCGATGACGTCATGCTCAAGGTTCCCAGCTGGCCCAGTTGCGTGTCCGCACCACCGCCCTTGCAACCCTTACTCAAGTCACTTCCGTTCATCCATATAGTAACATCTGTTGGTACAAGTTGTTTAGCCCAAGATTAGTGTATTCGTCCCGCCTTGTTCTGCGGGAACGTTTGGAAACTTGTGCACGCCATGGGAAGAGCAACCAATGACAAGACCCGCTAAGGATCGGTGACATGAACCTAGTTCCATATCATTATCACTGGTAAGATTGAAACTATAATGGCATTGAAGTCGTATATTGTATTTAGATGATACTGGTAATAGTCTGACTTGCTAATCTAAGTGTGTACGTGCAAAGAACATAAGAAAAAGTACATGAGACGCAGATGTATGTATTCAAAAGCAGCGCAACCCGTAACTATCTCTTCAAAACGCTATTCCGGCCGTCCATTGTTACATCTGGTGATATCTAAGCCCCCGAGGAAGGTGGGGTCTCAGGGTCGGAGTCATCTTCGCGCTCGTAGTCGGGAGGATCTACGCACAATTAATATATGTACGACACAGCAGTCTTTATGTGCCAACAAACTTACTCTCAGTGAAGAATGTCTGCCAGTTATCACCACTAGGATCCGTAGCGCAGATGCGACTAACGTATGCATCCAAGGCCATCCATGCATAGTTGTCGGCGTTAAGGGATGCACCGACCGGGTCGTCGTCCTGGTCAGGGTCGATGAGACCATGGGTTCGCTCAGGCTCATAGGCAGAAAACCCATCCCCGTTGACCCTGTCCTGAATCGTGTCCATCAAAGAAGTTTCTGGACCTACGGAACTGTAGTGTGTCCATTCGTGGAGGATGATACGGGAGATACTGTCCATTTTTACGCTGGGATAGGGGTCAAGAGCATCACAGTCAATGTCCGCAATGCTTTCCAAACGACCCGTCCAGGTTATGTCACAGAAATGGATCTTCTCCCGTTGATCGACTGGTTCGTCGACCAGGGTGTACGCGTAAGTATCTCCATCGCAGTTAGATGCGTTTGGAATGTCTGCACCAAAGTCTAAAATGTGCATTAGAATACTGTCACCGTAAAGCACTCGAGTCAAGCTTACCTTTGTTGTCGACGACAAAGCTTCCCACGACTTCCCCAAGTTTGACATTGTTCTGACCATCACCAGCGAGCCGGTTCAAGACATTCTTAACGTGGTCCTGGAAGTGGTACTCGTCAGGTCTCTCGTCAGGATCGTCCTGCTCCTCGTTGACCGCAAAATGACGCAAATACGGCATAAGAGCACTTTCCGCTGCACCCGCTCCATAGCTAGTGATGGCCAACATTTCACCAATGCAGAGGATGTTGTGAAGCAGCTCTAGATGGGCCTTGTCGGTTTCATTCTCGGGGTCGAAGTTCAGGTACCTCCACTCGTTCGTGCAAGCATCGCCCAGTGGATAGGACGAAGGCTCCGGTGAGGCTTGTCGAGCGACTACTCTAGTCGGTGGGTTGGAGATTGGTTTTGCGTGAACCGCTGTTGCAAGAGCAAGAGCAAGAGCAAAGGCTTTAGAGAAAGTCATGTTGGAAACGTTGTCTGCTAGGAAGGATAGGTGTAGAATAAGAATTTGGACTCTGAGCACTAGATATCCGCTGCTCTTAAGAAGAATGTGATGATGTTGTAGGTATTGGTGTAAATTTGCATTTGAATCCAATGCCATATATACATTTTTTTTGCTGCCAGAGGTACTCTCGAGGCCGCTTGCAGGAACTCCCATCACGATCATTCACGTATAGGTGAAACTGTGCGATATGAGTACGCCTGATTCCTACAAAGTCAGCTTACTCTATAGTATACTATTCTCGTGCAATACTCGGGCGAGCAAAGCAACAATGGCCGTGGTCTGATCCTATGGCTATGTCGTTTCCTCGGAGCAACATAGTTTGCCTGAAGTTTCATGGTCGAACATGGTACATTTATTCTCACTTGATGGGTTCTATTAGAAATCTAATGATGTAGAACGGGACGCCTTGGTCGTACAAAGGCGACCGAAGTACTTTGAAGTCATCCACCAAGGCAACATCCACATTCTATAATTACGCACTAAAGGGGTCTTGTCTGGTAGCGATTAAAGCTCGAAATCTCGATACAGATTCAATACTACTGGCCAATTTCCGATTGATGTTCATGCGATACAGAACCATACTCGAAAGCGTATAATACTTTTGTTCCACTTACCTCGTTTGGCACCATATACCGAGTACATAAACGTGACACAAGTGTAATACTATAGGTTTTTTGCATAGCCACATAATTCTGGGGCGGTATAAGGCGAAACGGTTCCCAACCCAGGAAGTGGGCGAATCATGATTTGTGCATCGTGTTGGGGGTGGCGGGGAACAGTACCCTGGTCTACACATCGCCGATAGAATATGTTGAACCAGTAAGCACCGGAATCCGAGACATAGCGTGCTGCACTCTCTTTGGCTGAAAGATGCGGATGGATTCTGTTGTTGTTAAGTAATGGGCCAATCAATCCTGGAAAATTCTGGACGCCTTATACTTTTCGCCCCATTTGAGCGATTGACTCAGAATAGGACTCATACTGTGCCACAGCCTACAGTACGCGCCTACCTGACGTCACTGTCTACGAACTTTCGTATTCGACCATCTGCCCCAAACCTACCGTAGAGCTTGCTTTATAGAATTGTTACCCTTCTTGGAATCACTTTGAATCTTGACACCCCTATTACACTCACATCATGACGAGCGAATTCTCCATTCACGTACAACCTCACAGCCGCTACAACGTTTTTGACGCATCAGGACAACTACCATTCAGTGTTGTGTTCGGCATCTGCCGTCTTTCCAAGTCCGATACGGATCCTCGCCCACTACTTATTGAGACTGCAGGCTCAGTGTTCGATGTCCCATACGCCTTGATACATGGCTTGCTTACCCTACAGGAGGAGCATCCTGGGGAAGCTACAAAATGGGTCGATGTGGATTTGAGTAAAATAGGAGAAGTTGACAAGAATACTCCAGAATGTATTTCTGTTCCTTCTCCAGTCAGCAGAACGAAGAACTGGAAGGACGATATGACGGTATATCTGGACCATATTGATGTGAAGGGTGCTTTGGTATCGATGCTCAAAGTAGGCAACAGGTACAGAATAAAACTTGCGAGTAAAGACCTCGGTGTCAGCAAATGGACGTACGGCAACCAAGATCAGTTTGCAGCGGCTCATGGTGAAACGGCAAGGTTGGTCAACAGCTACTCCCATGGCAATGCAACATTCAAAGTCACGGACAAGCTGTTGTTCCCACCGAAAGTGGAGGTGAGGCTACGCTTGGTTGAGAGCACGTTGCTAGAAGTTACCGTTGAAAATACGACGGAGGAAATCATCACTGTACAACCTCGAGGCCACCAAAATTTTCTTGTTCCATGGGGCCCCATGCAGCCAGAACCCGATATGCTCGACGACCGTCCAAGAATCATCGACTCTACGCCACAAAACTATGCTCCGATATCTAGTCTCGTGGTTCTTGATGCTGCAACGGGAGAAGTGGTCCGTGGACATGAAGATCTCAGCAAGTGTCACTTGAGCGACCCCAAAGCCGATACGCGACCCAAAGTAGACGAGTTGATAGCATTGGAGCCTCATAAACTGGTTACTGTTGTGCACCAGATAGATTGGAAGGTGCAAGGACTACAGGATGGAAAGTACAAGATCCGGATGCATCCAAAGGGTTGCCGCTGGTGGCGCGGAAAAGTTGAGAACGAGGAGGGCGAAGACGAAAAGGTTCCAGCACGACTATGGAAAGGGGTCACTGTTCCTCTCATGCTTGAATCTCAGGATGAGCTGGAAGTGACTATCAAAGACGGAAAGGTGGACAGTGCTATGTGAGACACGGCGGGTGGAAGGGATGCCGCTACTAGTGCGTGTACACCAACGTCCTTTTCGATATGTATTCCAGGCATTGCAACGAATTCCAAACAATTATGTTTTAATATTTCCCCATCGTCATGAATGATAATTTAAATGAAGATAAACACCAAAGTTATGAGAGAAAGACAGCCGATTTCGGACCGACAGAACCCCTCTGATTCGAGATGACGCCATTGGAAAAGGATCTCAAATTGACTAATCTCCATCGCCCCCAGACGACGTACAAGAGCTAAAGAACTTACTTGCAACAAACTGATTGTGATTTGTGCTCTATACTATGGCTTCATTCCTTCCTCGCGCAGCTTCCCGAGCTCTGCGCTCGTCTGCGCGCCCTGTGCTGCGGGCACAGCGTCCCGTCACCACACTGCTCCGTCGTGGATATGCGATTCCAGCTGAGCAACCACGCCTAAGGCTAGGATCCATTGGTACTTGAGATATATCAAAGCGCCTCACAGCAATACGTATACTAACCAATTGACGCCAGCTCCAAACTTCCAGGCAAAAACCACCCATGGCGATATCGTACGCATTCCCTTCCATCCCACGAAGTAACAACTAACACGCCGACCAGGACTTCCACAACTTCCTCAACGGAAAATGGACCATCCTCTTCAGCCATCCCGCAGACTTCACCCCAGTCTGCACAACCGAACTAGGCGCCTTTGCGAAACTCAAGCCCGAATTCGACGCCCGCGGCGTCCAAATGATCGGTCTCGTACGTTGTCTTCCACATCATCTCCACAACCACGAATCAATCAAAACACACATACTAACACACACACACACACATCAGAGCGCCAACGACCTATCCTCGCACGCCGACTGGATCGCCGACATAAACGAAACGTCGCAAACCACGGTCCACTTCCCCATCATCGCCGACGCAGACCGCCACGTCGCATACCTGTACGACATGATCTCGCAAGACGATCTTGACGCGCTGCAGAAGAACGGTGGCATCGCCTTTACCATTCGCTCCGTCTTCATCATCGATCCGGACAAGAAGATTCGACTCACAATGTCGTACCCGGCTAGTACGGGTAGGAACACGGCGGAGGTGCTGCGGGTGATTGATAGTTTGCAAACGGGGGATAAGAAGGGTGTTGCGACGCCGATTGATTGGCAAAAGGGGGATGATGTTATTGTGCCGACTAGTGTGAGTACCGAGGATGCGAGGAAGAAGTTTGGAGAGGTGAGGGAGGTTAAGAAGTATTTGAGGTTTACGAATGTTGGGAAATAGACGAAGGGGGGGGGGGTGGGTGTGAAGAAATGTGTAGAGATAGATAAATAGTTAGAGATAAAACTACTGCTATGTATGAACTGAAATCCTTCCATAGGATGCTAGCATATCATCTTTTTTATTTGTAAAAATGCAAACCGAATACAAGGGTATCATCCCGCACACGTCTTTACGAGCCTGCCGGAGCTGCAAACGAGAGTCTAACGACTTTACCGCCATCACCTCCAGCTTCCTTCTTCCAGCCCAGCACATCGTCCTTGTTCTTCTCTTTATTGACCTCCCACGGCACCAAGAAGCCAGCATTGAGGTTTCCGTTCTTAACACCCTGAATCGCCACCTTTTGCTTCGACTGCGCAATATACGCGTTGAGGAATCCCTGAGTAATCAAGCTACCGCATATACATTCCATTTCCAGAATATCGAATTCGTGGGTATATGGCTGTACATTGTCCAGGCCGGCAAAGTCCGGGTCAATGTATGTCGACTTGGTAGTTGAAGCGTGGTCCTGGAAGATGTGACCGAAATTGCGACGGCCTGGGCCGCGGTCCTGTGCTGCCATTGCCGCATTCTTGATTCTCGAGCGGGCCTCGAGGAAGCGGAATATTTGGACGGCTGCGCGGAGGTCGAGTAAGGCTGCAGCTTTTGATGTCTCGCCTATGCTACCGGTGAGGATGAAGACTTTTCGGAGGAGTGACCGCCATACGAGGACTTCGCAGTAGTTGCCGATGGGGTAGAAAATGCGGTATTTGATCATGAATTCGGCGCTTGGATGCGAAAGATCCAGGTTTGTAATGCGGCGAAAGGTTTCCAGGTCGCCCTTGCGAATGGCTTGAGTGATTGGGACGAATACTTCGCGGAAGCCAACGTTGGCTGGATCGTTGTAAATGTGTTCGTTTGGGAAACGGCCAAGAATAATGTTTGCGGCGACAAGACAGACAGCGATCAGGCGGCGCTGCTTTGGACATTGCCTATGGCAGCCTCTGTATGCTACCTCCAGAACCAGCTGAGCAGCGTGAAAGTTGGTGTTACTAAAGTGATATCTTCCGAGGTAGTAAAGATATGTTGTCCGCTCTGCGGCAGGATAAAAATGTAGTGGTGGAGATGAATTTGAAATGTTGTTAAAAATGGTTTCGCAGCTTCCCAGCTTGTCGGCTTGAAATAAGGTCTTCAGGCATATGTTGGCCATCTTGTAGATGCCCACCTTCTTTCCATCGGGCCTGCCGTCTTTTATGCCACCTGGCACAGTGTTGCGATCGTTTAAGCAGATGATGAAGGCTTGTCGTACAATGTTGGCAGCCTTCTCTGGTAATGACTCTCTCTGGCCGTCTTCGTCCACGTCAGTTAGAAGCTGCTGCGCCAGACTAGGGTTGTTGTCCAAGCCGATTGCAACCCGTGCAAAAACCTTGGCATAGTACATGATTGTGGGAAGCATCATGATGCCCTTGGTAGGATGTTGCAATGCGCTGTTGGCACGTCTAACATTGCTATCAACACCTGTGTCTCTAAGATGTAGTATACAGTGGTCAAACTTACGGTTGAAGATCTGTCATCATTTCGAATACCATGACGAGATTGTTGGCGTCGACATCTCTGAGAAAGGTCATCCATCCAACGAGAAACGTGACAAGCGATCCCCAAGATTGCACTGGTCTTCCCTCTTCATCCTCGGACTCAGCCGTCTCAGTCACCACTCGTCTGACCAGATCCTCGAGACGTTTTTCAGAGCTCGGATTAGAAGCAGGGTAATTTTGCTTCAACGAGTTTATGAGCTCTTGATGATCTGGTGGCCAGCGGTTGGCCTCAAGCGGCTCCAGGAGCACGATTGACTGTAATTGGTTGGCATCACCTGCTCGTATAGCGACGTTGACGGCGGTGCACAGACGCGTCTCGACATCGTTCTGATTTTGGAAGAATGGCATGGCTGCAAGAACCCCCGTCGACAGTTTGGGGGTGGAGTCAAGCTAAACGGGAGAGCTCTCTGTGGCTAAGGATGTTCAACAATGCACTAACCTATATACGCACTAGCTGAGGATCCAAGCTCCTTCGGCTAACACCCGCATATCCTTACCGTCGATCATTGCAATGGAGAACATCTCCCTTCGCCCCTTTCCGAGAGTTTCGTTGGCCATTTCTAGATTTGATCTCAGATCTGTCAAAGATTGCTCACCTGATGACGTTATGTCAGCAACTTTCTATCGGGATCTTCCTCGTTTAAGCCGAGTAACGTGACGTGTAGGTCTGACGGTCAACTTGGTACCTTTCACATGTCAGACCCACCACTGTGACATCACCGAGCGTAATGCGCAGAACAACCATGTAGAAGCTGCACGTTTCCCGCAAATGTCCGACACTAGTAAGTAACATGTTAAAGTGCTCTTGTCTTACTTAACCTTTGCAAGGCTCATCCTTTGTCTCTCCCTTCTGTCAGTTTGTTCATTGCTGTAGCCCATCCACCCACGATGGGATACTTTATCGACTATATTTGGTACTTTGTTACGCACCCTGTCCTCTTCATTTACCAAGTGGTGCAATATGTGCTTGACTTGCTCCTTTCACCTACTCCTCCTCCACCCCATTCCAACCTCGCTCGCCCGAAGATCGCCATTATAGGCGCTGGCCTCACCGGTGTATCGGCTGCTTCACACATTGTCGGTCATGGCTTTGATTGCCGTATCTTCGAGGCTGGGCCAAAGGAGAACCTCGGTGGGATCTGGAGCCGAGTGAACAACACTTCTGGTCTGCAAATCCACTCGGTCATGTATCGCTTCCACCCCTCGGTGCACTGGAAGAAGGGATATCCGGACCGCCAGCAGATAGTGTCGCAGATCACACAATTATGGAAGAGATATGGACTGGAGGAAAAGACGGAATTCAACACAAAGGTGGGGAAGGTGTACAAAGATCCGCATGGACGATGGATTATCAACGACCCGAGCTACGGACGATTTGATGGAGTCATTGCAGCCATCGGGACATGTGGTGATCCAAAGATGCCGAGGCTGCATGGCCAGGAGAATTTCAAGGGAAAGATTTGGCACAGCTCGGACCTAGACGGCAAGGTGGCCAAAGGGAAGAAAGTAGCCATTATTGGTGGAGGTGCATCAGCTGTTGAGGCACTGGAGTGGGTTGCGAACGAAGAGGCAGAACATGCATATGTCCTTTCACGCAGTGAGAAGTGGATTATCCCACGGAATCCATTCATCGACGCTCTTCTGGCTCTGAACATTTTCGGCTCCGAAACAATCTTTTCCTGGATTCCAGAATACGTTCTGAGATTGTTCTTCTACCGCGACCTGTACGACATTTCGCCGGCGCCCAATAGTGGAAAGGGGCTCTTCACCGAGACACCAATGGTCAACGATCAGGTTCTCGACCTCATTCGCTCAGGTAAAGCTTCCTGGCTGCGCGGCGATATCATGGGTTATGATGACTCTGGTCGGGGCATCAAGTTCAACAAACGCGCTCAGGGGGTTCCCAAGAATGGGCCTGGATCAGAGAAACTGATCGAAGCGGACATTGTCATCATGGCTACGGGATACAAACGACCCAGCCTGGGCTTCCTGCCAGAGGAAGTCTTCAACGAGCCATATGATCCACCGAATTGGTACCTTCAAGTCTTCCCACCAGACCACCCTTCGATTTGCGCAAACAACTGTACATATGTCAATGCAATTGGCACGGTTGGAAACTACCACATTGGCATCTACACGCGCTTCCTGCTGATGTATCTGGTGGACCCGCTGGCGCGACCCAGGACGTGGTGGATGAAGCGATGGATAGACATGACACGGTTCATCAAGAGCAAGGCGCCTGGAGGAGCATTTGATTTCTTCACATACTCTGAGCTGATTTACTGGTTTGTCTTCACCATTGCCATCAATCCATTCCGGTGGAAGTGGGCGGCATTTGTCTTGTGCGGAGTTGGCAAAGGACTGCCACTGAGCGTGGTTGAGCAGGAGAATCGAGCAAGGAATGGACTAGGTATGACACATGTTGTTGGCAGTCACAGCAACGGATATCAGACGGAATAGCGGAGTTCCGGATAATGAGAAATGGTTAGCTTGTCGCACCATGTATATGGAAATGCTCAAGATGGATTTAGACTTTCAGCTCTTTCTTGCTCATTTGATCAATATCTCCGTGGAGCGGTGGAGAATGACCTGTTCGAGTTGATCTTGACCATCATGACCTTCCTTTTTGGACGAGGAATAAGGAAGTACACACTGCCACGTAAGGAAAAGCTGATGAAGCACGAAGCATTTCGGGGACTACACGTGGACGCGAGAGTGGGATCTGCTGGAAGTGGTGTGCAGCAATGGGGATTTGGACAGTTTAAATGCTTGTTCGAGGTGCAAATTACGTGTTGGGTGGTCAGGAGAAGACGGTGAGCGTATCGATATGGCAGATTGCATTGGTCGGTGCCCCGGTGAAAAACTTCGCTCTCCTTTTTTGTGCGCATGGCACGCACCACGCAGAGAACAAAAAGGTCGGCCCCTTTTTCTTATTCTGAGTATAATTGTGAGAGTGGTGGGGTTCGTCGGAAAGTTGTGCGGAGCCGGGTACACAATGAGGCACGTCTTACCCAGTGCATCTCCATGGCAACGCAATGGCAACGCGTAAACATGAATCAGAAAATGGGCTGAGGCCATGGGATGGAAACGCATGCAAATGATGATAAAATTGACGGTGTTTGAGGATGGTGAATGTTCCTCAGGAAGCGATGTGCCGTTGTCGCAGCTCAAACCGGCTGGCAGGACGATTAGTTGGTCGGAGGATATCCCCCCGCATGTAGCAGCCTCTACAGGCGCGTCACAGCGTCACAGCGTCCCGTCGTCTCAGATAGCGACCTGCCGAGCGCGAGGCCGCACACGATCCGCATGCAGAAGTGAAACTCGTGTTCCCTGGGGGTATAATATTGATAGAGGCGAGCGAATCCTTTAGTGGGCCGGATGCGGCTGCGATGCGCAGCAGCCAGCTGGCGGTGCAACAAAGGATTATCCGGTGTGTGGGAGGGTGTGCTGACTCTTTAAGTTCTTTGAGGCGAACCCATCAAGGGAAAGCAGAAGGGAGAAGGGGCTTTGTTTTCGGGGTGAGTGACCAGGCGGGGCCGGGTTAGTTCTAGTAGTAGTCGTAGTATGTGGGAAGGGAGAGAATTTTTAATGATTTTTTTTTCACACTTGAGCATGCATTCTCGTCTTGCAATCTCCACCACCAAGAAGAGTAAAGTACGTACGTAAGGGTGATATTGATGATGGTGTCAAGCAGAGTGAGATCGGAAGCGTGCGGCCAGGTGCTGCTCTCGTGACAAAGAGGATGAGGGCTAGCCTGCTGTCACGGTGCAGATTTTCAGGGTCTCGAAACGCACAATAGGCCGTAGACGGTAACGCGGGCGGGTCCCGCGGTCTGGGGTATATGACGGACCCTGTGTGGTGAGACTGGCGCAGTGGTGTGTGTGGATGGAATGGTGGTTATGGTCATGTGATAGCGTGCTTGGGATTGTTTGTGTACGGCCGGCGCGGACGCGTCGCACCTGGCGACGAGGCTTTTTTGTTTCCATGGCGCGCGCTGGGGACCCACAAAAGGAGGGGTCAGGCCAGCCCGTTGGCGGGGGCGCGTGCAGGCTGCGCTTATGAAAGAGTTTGTGCACTCGCTCGCCGCTTGCCCTCTACGGCCTCGTTGCAAACAGCCGCTGTTCTCGAACAGCGACTCAGCTCGCCTCCAGACGCTGCACGACCGCCGCCCCGGCCACGCCGAGTAATTGCCTGCTGACGTCGTTGGCCGGGCAGCATCGTGTCCACACAATAAACATGTACTCGCCCGTTGCTCAAGAGACGAGGGGACGCTGGCTGCGGCTTGACAGGCGCCGAACAGGTTTGCCTACTTTACGACTTACTTTAGCCCACCAAGTCCATTCATGGCAAGCCGGCGGCCGTGGCCTCAGCCTTATTGAGTATGACGTTTGGAGGGTGTCGCCATCGAGATCTCGTTGCAGCAGCCTCGATCGCAGGCACGCCACTAGGAGGGTAGTGTGTTGGGGCGAGGCCAGGCCGGTGCAATGCGCGCCCGCTTGGAGGGGGGGAGGACATGGATGGGCCCGACAAGGCGATCCGAGCGTGAACGAGCCATGCAGTGGCCAGTCGCCGCATCCACGGCGCCTGTGGGCAGAGCGTGGGAGCGTGGGTAGGTAGTAAGTAAGTAAGGAATGGGCGTGCGACGTCGGTCGAGCTGCACCGAAAGAAGCATGGAAATCTCCCGCTCGCCCAATGGGTGCGCCTCGCTGCTCCATGGCCAATGGGCGGCCCGCAGGTGAGCAGGATGACATGGAGGCCAGCGTCGCCATGGCAGATTCCCTGGCAGAGGGCGTGCCAGACGTGTGCCGTTCCCTGGCCGATGACGAAAGAATACGTAGTCGGCGGCAGAATGGGCCTGCCTACTGCCTACCTGTGCTATGCGAGCGGCCAAGTGGGCTGTTTCCAATAGTAATAGGAAAATACTTGCTACTCGGCTACTTTACTGACTTACGCCAACTGGGAAAATACTCGCTAGCACGACTAGGCAGTTGTCCGTGTAGGGAACTGCACTGCACATCCACAGGCTGCCGTGGGCCAGTTCACGCGTCTTTGGCGACGGCGGTTGCTGGCCTGTTCGGTTTCCGCACGCACATGCAAGGCCATGCAGCGGGCAGCTAGCCGCAGTCGCCCATGTTTGGTACCGAGTGGGCTGGTTTCCCTTGGAGACGGTCTCCATGGTACGCATACGGCTACACGCTACACCCACCCACGCTGAACCACTCCGAGGCCACCCTCTCGTCTCGGCGGCGCGACTCTGAGTAGTGGTGGATGTACTATCAGGCGGGCGGGCGCACGCAAACTCATCGTTTCACCCCTCCACCTGCTGCGCTACAGGGTGCACCCATCCGCCATGGGTCTGAGCCGCGTCGAGCTAGCCGGTTGCTTCTCTGGCAACGCGCTGCACACGGCGACATGGACCGGCCTGGTGCAGCCATCTATTACTATGTACAGTAGACAGACATGAAGTAGCAGCCGTCAGACGCACACGGTGCCGTGGTAGAGCGGCCTGCCAGTGCCGGGCGAAGTAATTAATGCACATACATACATGATGATGATGATGACCCTACATACACACACACACTGAGAGAACAAGGCAGACAGGCCATGGCTGTACACAGACGCTCTGCAAACACTGGTTTACCCGTCTGCAGTGGGCGTCATCAAGCTGCAGCCCAGCTGCACGCAAGCTGCCGAGCATGCCATCGCGATCAAATCAGCAGCCGGTGTACCTGCGGCGGCATTAGAGGCAGCGGATCATCGCAGCGCAGCTTGGACGTGCTGCATAGCCGGAACGAACAAACTCCACTACCCAGTCCTCTTTGACCCGTGCTGGTGCTGGGCAGTGAGGCCTCCGGTGTGTGCAAGCGCCTAGCTTAGCAGCCCCATGCCCTGGTCGTCCGCCCTAACCTTCTCAGCGGGCTACCCCAGCAACCATGGCATCCTCAAAGCCAGCTGCGTGACGGACCCGCCGTCCTTTCTCTCTACCCTTCTCTCCCCCAAGAAGGCACAATCCCCCATCGACTTAACTTGGCCCACTCGCCTTGTCGACAAAGAGAGCTTTTGCTTGGATCTCCCACATCCATTATAGGCAGTCGCTACCTCCTTCACCCACCTCCCCCATCGCGCCTGCAGCCTCATGTCCGGAGCCCGCCTGTAGCACCCAATTCGACAACCAACGCCCGCTACCACCACCACCGCCAACAACCCACGACGACGACGACACCAGCCCCGATTATCCCTCCCATTACATCTTGCCCCAGCATCTTCAGATTGGAATTAGCTTTTCTGTCTTGTATGCCTTATCGCCCTCACCCGACGACGCTACTACACCAATCAAGCCGACGCTCGTTTCCGCCTGTTGCCCGGTACGACGATAGTCCAGCCTCACCTTCACCACCATGGAGATGTCTTCGCCTCTTGCCGCCATGCACCCGCCCCCAATTCCCGGTCCCTGGGGTTATCGCCGTGACCTGCCTCAATCCAAGCCGCTCTTCGGGGGTGCACACAACCTTGGCCCCAAGAACTTCAATTTCCGTGATCTCAGCATGAAGAAGGCCAGTGGAGACTACTTTGCCCTCCAGCCTCGCATCGGCTCCTCGCCCACTGCCAGTCTGGCTGCCGACATGTCGAGCAACCTGCACGTTGACCAGAGGTAAAACTACGCTTGGTTTCAGACACCTTCCGCTTTCGGTGCTAATGCCCTTTGTTACAGCCCTCAGCTCGCCACGCCCCGTCGGTCGCTCTTCACGTCCAATCTCTTTCAGCAGTTGGACACAAGGGGTAAGTGGCTGTGCTCATGACAATGGGAGGGGAGGTGCATGTTCTAACAAGGCTCTTGTAGAAAACCTGACCCCAATTGCCCGATGGGAAGGTGTCACCACTCCACCAATTCCTTCTTCGTCGCCCGGCTTCGCTCCAGACTCGATGGACATCTCGCCTCTTCCCCACAAGGCCCCCTTTAGCTTCGTCAACGACCGCTCTCTGCCGCTTCCCTCGCCCTCGCCCGAAACCACTCCCGGCACCGACAGTGACATGTTGTCGTCGTGCAGCGACCTGCCTACGCCTCCCACGTACTCGGCGCCAAACCTCGAGGTTCCACGCCCAGTATCTGCTGCTGAGTTAGTATTTCTTTGCCATATATGCCTGCTCTATCTCGACTAACACAACGTAGTCGTCGCAAGTCTGCCCTGCTTAGGCCTTCTCTGATGCGCTCCAAGAACAACTCGTCCAACTCTGTTTCTTTCAAGGATGATGAGAAGTCTGACGAGAACTCGGTGCCTCCGCCTCCGCCTTTCCAGTTCGGGTGTGGTGACTTCAGCCGCACCTCGTCTTCACTAACCCTAGACGAGTGCTTCGCCGCCTCGCCTCCGCAAGAGCGCAGCAGGCCCACGTCGAATGGATCCCTATTCGGCTCTTCTAGGCCCAAGGCCTACCGTCTCAACTCTACTGCTACCTCTAGTTCAAATGGATCGCCCCTTGCCGCCATCCGGAAGCCTGCTGGTCCCTCCTCGCGTCGGCCAAGCAAGTTCCGACGTTCATTGAGCATGTTCGAGAGCCCCGGTGATGTGATGAATGCCAAACAGGAGCAGGAGAACTATCAGCCCAGTGGTCTTCAGTCTGTAATGGATGTTGATGATGTCCACCCACTCAAACTTCCTCATTTCACTACTAGCGAACCAGAGAGCCTTCCTCGCATTACCCGTGAGACCTTGATTGACGTGCTCGATGGTGTTTACGACCACCTGTATGACAACAAGGTGGTTATTGACTGCCGTTTCGAGTATGAATACAACGGTGGGCACATTGAAGGTGCTTTGAACTTTTGTGACAAGGAGAAGCTTGCCGAGCGTCTCTTCCAGGCCCCTTCTAGTGAGAATACTCTCTTGGTGCTCCATTGCGAGTACTCGGCTCATCGTGCTCCTCTGATGTAAGTCAATTGGTCCATCCATGATCGATTTTCACCAACTAATAGCAACAGGGCCAAGTTTGTTCGCTCGCAAGACCGCAAAGAGAACGCTCACCAGTATCCTTTCCTCTCCTTTCCCGAAGTCTACATCCTTGATGGTGGCTACAGTTCCTTCTTCCATGCCCACGCTACCCGATGCTATCCTCAAAACTACCTCCGCATGGACGCCAAAGAGCACGAACAGTCGTGCGAGCGCGGCCTTAACAAGCTCAAGTTCAAGTCGCGTGCTAAGCTCAACCGTGCCACTACCTTTACCTTTGGACAACCCTGCCAAATGGAGGACAGCCCTACAACCATGAGCCGGTCAAGAAGCGGAAACAACATCTTCTGCCTTGGCAGCGACTCATTGGACGGCGCTCGGGCTAGTACCCGTCGCCTTGCCTCTTACTAAAAAAAAACCCCCCGCACATTGGCCTCTGGCCTCAATTACGATACCAAACTAACTTGACGGCGGATCGATTCATGGCGTTTATCAATACTTGCTGCATCGGCATTGGATCCCCACAGCATTGGCGTTTACTTTTCTCTTTTCTTGTCCTTTATTTCGATTATACCGGGGCGTTCAAGCGATTTCCTTTGTTCTGCATGGTCCTCGAACATCTCTGTCAGAGGAAAACAGTCTGCATCTGATCTCTGGGGCATCCTGACCCCGTTTTCGTTTCTATACCCCATGTCGCGGAGCCAAGGGCCCGGGCATACGTTACCATTTCTTGAGTGGGATGGCTGGATACCCACCACGTTTACGGCGACCGCTGTGCAGGTTGATCCAGTCTGCCCGCAAGCACCCTAATTTCCTTTGTCACCATGTACATCCTCAACCGGATTTTTCCTTTTTTGCAATGGCAGAGCTGGAAGATGCTCTTGGCCGAGTTCACTTGAACCAAAATCTAAGAATCATCACGAAGCCACATACACAGTCTGGGTTTACGTGCCTGTACAAACGCTCATTACCAGCACATTATAATCCATCTCATTAATCATTCACATTCACGTTTATGCTTGTTTGGTGTGCTCTTGTTAGTACTTGGGAGAGTGATGTGGTTGTCTTTGTCTTTGTTTTGTTGGCCACGGTGCTTTGTTTGGTGTTTGTTCTTTGTGTCTCTGGACTTGTTCACTTGTCACATTTGTTGCCCCTACAAGTCGGTGTGTTTGTGCTAGATACATGTGGAGATTGAGAGTATGTACTTGGCGTGATACAGAATGACAAAGCAGCCAACTGGAGAAGAGGTTGGACTTGCAAGACAAACAAAAGGAATTACCCCTCACACCTCTCGCATTGTTTGTTGTCAGTGGTCGGTACCCGAGTCAGACGCATTGTTGTTGATTTGGCCGGACAGACGCCTTGAGCTATGCCCGATAGATCTGTTGAGCCGGAAAGACGGGCTCCTTGTGCCTCAGATGGATGAGTGGCATTGCCCGGAAGAGTCCTAGGGACCCAGCCGTGCAGTCGCGTGAGGTCCCAACGCGTTTGGCGCTAACACTGTGCCAGCCCCGCTCTCCCCAAACATGGCTTCCCCACCAAACCTGCGCAAATCGACGTTTTGCTGCATCCTGCACGCCAGCCCGTGTCTTGCCTGCGCCGATGCACCCCATCGCCACCCAAGTCTCCCAAATCGCACGTCTCAGAGTAATTCCATATATCCGACACCCGCTTTGGGAGGGCGGATACGTTGTGGGTTACTCTTGTTTGCGCCCCATCTATTTTTGCTTTTGCCCCACCTCAGCTGCGAGGGGAGCTAAGCTCCGAGCTCCGAGCACTTGCTGATCTCACAAAGCACGCACACACAGTTCAACGCGTGCTATAGTACATTACATACTCTACCTGCCACATGCGGCACGGTATCTTGGCTGCATAGACGAGCCTCTGCGCTTGTTTTTCTCAGTGTCCACGGCCAATTTTCTGGTCTTTTGCATGTGCAATTCGAGACAAGAGCAATCATGGATATCGACGACCTACTAGCCGAGGTCGCTGTCGACTCGACGCCACAGGAATCGCGCGACTTACAGGAGCTGACACGATGCTGGGTTGCCGAGAGAGTGGCGCCCGAGATTCTGCCGTGGCCGACAGATCTCATGGCAAGAGTGCTGGAGCGCATCGCAAGACAGGTGAGTTGTTCTACGTGCCGGGGCCACCTTCGAACCGTTGGGTGAACTCAACGGTCTTGGGTACAAAGCAATAATGGTTGTCTGAGCTTCTTCGTTGGCCGTTAGAATCAACCCTACATTCACATTACATCGAGATTGAGAGGGCTAATGACGCAGCCAGATTGAACTTGTCGAAGACCAAACGGGGAACATGGACCCAAAGACAAATTTCACTCTCATCATCATACAGACAGAACTAGAGCGATTCAAGTTTCTTGTCCGGAGTTTTTTGAGGGCCAGGATAAAAAAGGTGGGTAGCACGATTCTCTGCCACTCCCATTGAGCCATCGCTCGGACACACGGTCGATGTCTGTATACTGATCTTAACAACAAACAGATCGACACACATCCCCTCCACATCTCCGCCCAACACACGTCCTCCCTCGACACCCCAACCCCACTCCTCTCCCCCGCAGAACACCAATACCTTACATCCCACCAAGCCCTACTCGCCTCTCACTACGCCTCGTCGTTCCTGTCTCAGTTCCCGGCCTCGCTGCAGCGTCTCGATGATACCACTGGCGGCATTAGCATGGTGGACAAGCCGGACGAAGACAAAGCCGTGTTTGTGCGTGCGTTGAGGGATGTAGGCGAGATTTTCGTCGAGGGCACGGATCGTAGGTTCGAAATGAAGAGGGGGGACGTGTGGGTTGTACGGTGGAGTGCAGTTCGACGGTGGTGTGTTGGGTGTGGTACAGGAGATGTGGAGTTGATTTAAGGAGTTAGAGAATACCCCCCCCCCTTTTTTTTTCCTGCATAGAAGGTTGGATGTGTGTATGTTTGCATGGAGGGGAAGAAAAAGAGAAAGAAGAAGAAATATCACGATAGCCATTGAGGGTCTGATGCAATATTTTGCTTTTTTTCTGTACAAAGCATGTATATGGTTTTGGGGCATGTTCACGGCGTACATGAAAAGAAAAACGATTGAAAAGAAAAGTATGAAGAAGAAGAATGCGGTCAAGGTAATGTACATGAATGAAACAACCCACGAGAGCATGTACACTTCAATGACTTGTTTACAAACACATTCATCCATCATCAATGTATCACTAGAAAAAAAACCACACAGAACACATATATGTACATGTCCATCCACAAAAAACTCACGCTATGCATTTCATGTACTTTAAGAACCCCCATCAAGCAAGAAGATAAGAAGAAAAAAACCCCCCCATAACCTCATCCAATTCCTCCCCATATTCTATTCTAGAATAAACATGGCAAGACTACTACCTTCCCCGGGGGGAAAAAATAATCATACAACAGTACTATACCCCGCTCCATACCCTCTTCTCCCTTTCCAGCGTAAATACCACTTCCTGCCCTCATCAGCCCAAAACACGCAACTTGCCACCGCCACCAAATGGGCCAAGTCGGCAAGATCCAGCGCCTCGGTCTGAAAGACGCGTTGCAGCGGTGGGAAATAAATGACAGCGAGTTGGCCCAGCAAACTGCCCGCGACGGCATAGTTGAACATTTTGTTGTCAAAGACGCCGATTTCGCCTGCGAGGACGGATTTGCTCGAGGAGCGGCAGGTCAGAGCGTTGAACATGTCGAAGAGGACGAAGCAGGTGAAGGTCATGGTCGTGTCTCGGGCTGTTACCATGTTGTCGTCGGACATTTCAAGGTAGTAAGTATTGAGAGTGCCGAGCATAATGATGGAGGCGGATTGGAGCACGCGTTGGATTAGAGGACGGGTGAGGACGCGGGCTTGACGGGGGCGAGGCGGGAGTGCCATGACGGCTGGGTCTACAGGCTCGACACCGAGAGATTGAGCGGG